TCTGAAGATGCCGGCCACAGAGACTGGCAAAACGTTAGGAAGAACAACCTTCAGAACACGGCCAAAGAGCCTGAAAACCCCACAACAGCCATTAGATCCTGGCCGTGAAAGCCTTCACGAATACATTGTCTTACATTTTGTTTGTGTTATCAGGCCATCAAGACTCTAGGCTGGCATTTTTTTAAAAAAAAATATTTAAATTACTATAAAGCTGCTTTTTATTATGCTAGCAGCAGTGCCAGTCACCGGCATATCAACTCTTTTTCTCTTATGACCGTAGCAAGAGATACAGTTTAATAACAAGGGAGAGGCAGCATGGTGTAGTAGTGGCTAGAATTTGAGACTGAGACCCAGATTCAAAGCTCTCCTTGGCCATGGAAAGAAAGGTTACTTACCTGTAACGGTGATTCAAAGCTCTCCTTGGCCATGGAAACTCAGTTTTCTTACCATAAAAAGCTCTAATAATACATGCTAACTTATCACTGTTGTATGCCATCAAGTCACTTCTGATTTGCTACAAGGAGTAGCTTGCTATTGCTGGGGGCAGCAATAGGAAACCAACCTGACTGTATACAATCAAAACTCTTTAAGATAAGTGTATCTACTTTAGTACGCAACTAGTAATCACTAAATACTGTATAAGCATTTAGATTGTTTCCTACTCTCGCACAGAAGTTTAACTGGACATAAGGCTTGGATGGCCAGAATACAATATAGTTACTTGTTAGATCCACTGAAATCTTAGGGTACAGCCACACAGGGATTTGTCCCACTTTTTTGACTGCGCTGGGGATGAGCTGGTTTGCTTCTTTTCCTGGCAACTACATGACATTAGTGCCGTATAAACTATCCCACCCCCAAAGCATTCCTACCCACGTTTTTTTGGTTCCCTTTCAGGGGCTACTTTTAAAAGGTTCAAATAGAATTGATCCTTTCTGCTCTAGTTCCAGCACATGCAATCACCGTGATCAAACCAAAGTGGAGTTTTCAATTTCCCAGTATTGTTAAGTGCCTTAAGCAGGTAGCTTAAAACTACTTGATATTGGGAAATTGAAAGCTTAAACTGTCTTCTTTCAATTTTCCAATACCAGCATGGGTGAGCAAAGTGTAGACCTCCAGATGTTGAACTACAGCTGCCAGCATTCCTCATCACTTGTGATGGTGGCTATGACTCATGCAATCCATCAACATTTGGAGGGTGACATTTTGCAGCAGTGTTGTGTTATTACATGTTTCCTTCTTTTTCCTTCACTTTATCAGACCAGCAATCATGGCCAAAGTCTAGCAATCTTGGATACCTTGGTGTTGGCTGTAGGAATTCAGTGTATTGCCTTCAGGGACCTTGAAATTTGGGATTTTTATTTCTGTTTTGTTTACCACCCAGAGTAGTATCTTCACTACTAGTTGGGCAGGATAAATAAACAAACAAACAAATTAAATAAATAAACAAATAAATAAATAAATAAATAAATCCATTCACAGTTGCCACATAGATGGATTCCCTTGTGTGTTCCTGAATATTGGAATGCACACATCTGTCTTTTGTGCTTTATGTGTTTACTGCAGTAAACGTACTTCAAACATTCCTGTCTCTCCTTGTGATCCTATAATGAAGTATGAATTCTCCGTCTGTGCCATGATTTTGATTTTAATTTACCACCTCCTTCACAAAACTTTGTGCTGTTGTACAGTAGTGTTTTAGCCTGAAAAACTTATTTTCTTGCTCAGGAAGTCTTAGAATTGCTGCATACATGTAAAAATGAACAATCAAAAGACTATTTTTAAGTCGTGTATTTTTCTTGTGACCAGTGTTCTTTCTGATAGGAACATAAGTGCAACAGATTTTGGTAAACATGCACTTGAATTGCAACAGGCCAAGATTCCTGGGGGCATTGAAGTACTTTCTTAGATGTGTCTTGTTTGCATTTTGTGGTTATTGCCCCAAATACCCATGATGGAACAGCTGATCTTTAATATATGAAGCGCCACTATGGCTAGATCATCCCATGTTAGAAGTTCATTCTATATATATATATAGGGGGAAAAAAATTTAACTGTTTGAACTTGCCAAGGGAGAAAGACAGCCAGACAACTTTAGCTATCATTGTTGAATCTGTAGTTCGTCCAATTTTGGGTGGCCCCAAGGTTCAAAATAAAGCACAGTAACTTCTTTTAAGAATAAGGTTCTTAACTTTTAAAAGGGGCCACAATACTGAAAGGTTACAGGGGTTGCTTTTAGTTGGCCAGCGCAATGGGGCAAACAGTCCACTGGATTTTTCCACAGACCACTGGGAGAACAGCATGGAAACTGAAGAAATGCTTCTCCTTTATTTCTGTTCCAGATGGGCTTGTCTGCATCTGCAAAAGGATGGGACATGCCCCTCAGAAATATCAAGGGGCACAAAAGGATCCCATCAGCAGGGAACAACTCTTCTCTTTCCATAGTTAAAAGTGCAGAGGTCTGCTGTACAAGCTGAGCAGCTTATTTGTTCAAAGCTGATAGATGGGGAGAAATTTCTCCTCGTAGGGGGAGAAATGCATTCACTTATCTGTTTCTTACATTTTGTTTGTGTTATCTGGTGTCTGACTTGGGTAGTTGCATGAATGTTTGTCTTTAATCATTCAGTGAAAGTCTGGAGGTTTCTTTCTCCTTTCCAGTACGTTGATGGTCGTTTGAAAGCAGGAGCATCGCTCATCATGTCTGTGTTAACCAGGACTGGCCCTACTGTTAGGCCGAGTAAGGTGACTGCCTTAGACAGCTGGTCTATGGCATGGGATGGGTGGCAAATATTTCTGTATCATTCTCACCAATTGATTGGGAGTTGAAAAAGTAGTCCCCAACACAGTTTCCAGATCTTTGGATACTATACAGTTTGGCATGTGGAGGATGAATGGCATTTTCTGTTCTCTCTCAAACAGCAAAATGGCTGTGTTTGATTCTGACACCTATCATACTTTTCGCTATGGTAAACAATGCCTGTATTGGTTACATTATTTAGCCAGAAACAACAATAGAATTAAAGTATGTAAACTAAAATGTCAAACTATTGTTTGTTTCAAGATTTGAGGAATGTCTGATTTGGTATTTGGAAGTAGTCTGCTCTTAAGATGAAAATACTTTGTATTTATTTTAACACAAGCTTGCCACAATCCAAATTAGCTGGCAAATTAGCTTGGTTTTGTCATTGGTGGATTGATAGCTTTGTTTGCATGCTCATTGTTTCAGATATGTAGCACTGAAAGATTTGTCTGCCAAGAGATATAGAATGTGTGTGTAAATACTGTACACAGTTGTCTGAACTGTGATCTCAGCTTGAGGCTTCATGTTCAGTGGCATCCTACATAACCATCCCATGTTAAACTTCATATTTTGATTCAACACTGACTCATGGAAATGAAAGCATAACTTAAAGGCTAATCTATCTTCACATGCTTTTTGTACTTCATTCTCTGGTGGAAGCACAGGGCAGGCTAATGGTGCAAGATGTACTTACTCACCAATTTGTATACTAGGTATTGTGTCCTTCTGCTGATTACAAAGAGGGCTTATTTCCAAGTCAAATTTCTGCTCCAGGTCCCCTGTCAGGAAAAAAAAAATTAAAGGTCTATCAGATTATTTTAAAACTGTATATTCTGTAATACACAGGATATAAATTAAAGAACTTAACAGGAAAATGGAAGCATGCATGTAAATTTAAAGAAAATTCTTCATCTATCATCATCATCATCATCATCATCATCATCTTAGAACGGCAGAGCTGGAAGGGACCCTATGGAATGAGTCCAGTCCCTGTTAAGTGGGGAATCAAACTCCCAATCTCTGGCTACGCAAAAACCACTGCACTAGATCAACTATCAATGCCTCTTACAAAGGAAGTTTGGTTAGGACATTTCTCCCATTATGACCAATGCTTCACTCATATCCATTATTTAATCCCAGTTTGTGTCATTCTGATGCTATGCTGAAGTCTGAAACTTTGATTAGTCGATCATTTTAATAGTTTGTTGCTGTTCTTTTACATTGTGGTGAAAGACTTCTGTAATAAATAATAAATAAATAGTTATTTTGTGTTACTTGTTTTTGCAATGGTATTTTGGACCATTATTCATGAAGTTCCATCTACTGGTATCTCCTTTGTGTGTCACAATCATAAGAAGCTTTCTGGCAAGAAGCTTAATCCTTGAGTGAATGCCTCGCCAAACCAAGCAGAGGCTTAGCTTGCTGGAAATGGAGATGTTTCTGGGTAAATTGAGATCATGTTGCTCTCAGATGTTACCATGATATCCTAACATCAGCAGGACTGTATAAACAGTATTGGCTCAACCCCATTATCTGTAAAGGCAAAGCTTTAGCTCAGAGTTCTATAAATGTGGTCTAGGCTTTTTGAGGCCCCCCACTTTCCCTGCTATTTATATATACATATAGATGTAAATATAGATATAAATATAGATATACACTTATATATGCAAATCTTTTTTTTTAAAAAAAGCACAGCTGATGGTACATCTTGGTTTTTTATGTAGAAGAGGCAAAGGCAAATTCTGGTCCAGGAGCCAATTTTCTGTCTTCAAATCCATCATTTTATGCACCTATAACTCTCAGTTCATCTGTAAAGCAGTGGTGCCCAACCTTAGGTCCCCAGATGTTCTTCGAATGCAACTTCCAGAAACCCTGGCCAGCACAGCTGATGGTGAAGTCTTCTGGAAGTTGCAGTCCAAGAACACCTGGGTTACCCAAGGTAAGGAACCCCTGATGTAAACCAGAAGACTGCCTCTTCTAGTCTGGATGCCTCCAGAAGCACAAGTTCTGCGCTTGACCCAACCAGCTAAGTCGAAACAGGCGTCTGAAACTTCCTGCTTCAACTTTATTTCCCTTGCATTGGGAGAGAAGGTGCAATCCATGGTGGGTCTTGCCACAGAAAATGGGACAGTGGTGCACCAGAATGTGCCCATGCCTATTCTATAAGCCCAGAGATACTCGAATGTCTACCTTTTAGAAAAGAGATATTTCATTTTGAGTGTTGTACAAGGTTAATCAAGCCGATTAGATAGCTATTGTTGTATTAACAAGCTTTTGCCCTTCAGTCCCCAGCCACTTATCTAATGAAATAAAAGCCTTCTGTCAGCATATTTTTGTGAGTGACTTCAAGTGAGCAATGAGAGCTGTCAAGCTGACTGGTGAGTAGCTGTCACTTTGGCTGAAGGAAATCCTGATTTAGTGGCTGAGAGTGGAAAGTTGAAGAGGATACCAGGCTGCTGACCTTGTCTATAGAATTCCTCACAGACTCGCTCACTCCACTGTTTGCTCGTCTCCCAGAGCCGGCAAGGATTGCAGATATCGGCACACTTCAGTGCAATCTGAAAGCAAAGAAAAATACGATGGGAATGAGGCAGCAAAGCGGACTCTGCTCTACACATTTTTCAAGGCTTATCTGTTCTGCGTGTTTTGATACTGGACTAAGTATATCAGTGTCATCTTTCCAAGAAGACAGCCAGGTCACTACATCACCACACAGTATCTAATCCTTGAGGAAATCTTGTGTTCACTCATGTGCAAGTGTCAAACACAACCCTTAGATTCAAGCTATCACACAAGCCTTGTACATAATTCACCTGCTAGGTGTTGCAGGAGCCAGGAGCACATGTTCTAGTAACATTTGTGGAAAGTGAAGTTACTAGCTAAATGATGCCACTCATACTTTTCCTACTGGTGATATCTTAGGCTGCCTTTCTCTTTCATCTGTGGCAAACTTTTTCTCTCTGCAAAGACAGTTTTAACTGCACACATTTAAAATTGTCTGTTTTTCCCCCACAAGTCACTGTTTACAATATGCCAACATTATTCTGACTAAAACACTCACATTTAATTCAGTTTTTAAAGAATTCCTTCCTTCCTTCCTTCCTTCCTTCCTTCCTTCCTTCCTTCCTTCCTTCCTTCCTTCATAAACAATGCATTGCCTTCTGTCATTCTCTTCAGAGCAGACTGGGAAATGTTTATTGCAACCATTTCCATCTTTTAAAAAAATGGTCTACTGTTTTTCTTAGATAAAAGATTATTATATCCTTGAAGAGGTCTGTAGTGGGGACTGACCATGGGCAGATTATACTGTCGATATATTGCATATAATGATTTTGCACTTTTTTTCAGCTCTACACAATTAAGCCAATTATTATTTCTTATTAAATTGAAGTGTTTTCTGCTTAACTCGCAATAAGCAGAAGCTCACAAAAGACTCCAAATAAAGTATAATATTGTCAAGGACAGTAATTAAACTCTCAGGATCCACTGCAACCATAAGATGTACAAAAAGTACATTTAGTAAAGATTTGAAATACTCCAAGCCTTGAACATCCTAAGCTGAACAATTTCTACAGGCTGTAAAAAGTAACTTTGTGAAATGTAGAGGAAATAATGATAGATTAGATAGACAGATAATTTCAGACTTAATGCTAAAGTCTGATAACCTCTAAAAGACATGGAAAACTATTTGTGAGCTTTGTAGCATTAACTTCCAGTTAACAAGAGGTCAACATATAGAACTATAGAATTGAGTCTGATATAAGATAATGGCAAGTATCTTATTGGCTATTTATCCTGGTGTAATGGTGTAAACATTTTGGTGGATTGCTGTTAATTAACAAGCTGCTGCACTATGTCATGTGACTTAGCAAGTGATGAAGAACACCAGTGGTGACTCATTGATTAGCAGCAATTTTCTGCTGAGATTTATGCCCCTGTACTTCACATCACCAATTTGCATTCTGGCCATTATACATAGTTCATACTTGATTTTAAAAGAAGACAATTTTCATCAGATTTATCATTTATGAAAAAAAGATAAGATTATTTGCAAGTTAAGGTTGAACAGTAGCACGCTAATGAATGCGCAGGTAGTTAATCAGCCCAATACGAGCCCAGAAGATAAAAGTACAGTGGGGGGTGTTTAGCTGATCCTGGACTCATTGGGCTGCTACATCTTTTTTTCCCCTCATTTCTCTATTCCTTTGAGCACCCTTGATTCATTTTATTTCAAATGTTTCAGCCCTTTGCCTCACAGCCCTTTGCCAGTCTTATCAGTGTTGAGGGAGAGCTTTGGAAATGACACAGTCAATATTAAATCCTTTCAAAGTTTTATTCAGTGTATCCTTGAATTGTTTCTTTTGTCCACCATGAGCAACTGCAGCAAGCTCTCCATAAAAGACAAACTTTGGGAGAAGGTCATCCAACATCCTGATGACATGATACTGCCTTTACTCCATGAAGTTTCCATTGTTTCAAAACTATAAAAAATGCCTGTCTGCATTTACTCCAGCAGTTAAGTTTCAGGGACTTTATCCTGCCATTCAATGTTGAAAATTCTCCAAAGACAGGTAAGATGGAAGTAACTGAGCTTTCTTGCATAGGGTCAATAGGTAGTCCAAGTCTACACACCATAAAGCAGAGAGGACAGAACAACAGCTTTGTAAATCTTCAGCTTAAAGGAAAGATTGATTCCAGATTGATTCTATGCAGAGGGCTGAAATCTTCTGTAGGCAATACTGGCCCTAGAGATTCATGGTCATTTCATAATTGATGGGAATGCAGCAGGGGACTGTTTGTTGTTGTTTTGTTTTGTTTTTGTTTTTTATTCAAAACTGGTTCCTCATAAGGTATACCCAGTACAGTTTAGTACATGACCACCATCTTATAAGTACTGATGATCAAGCTAAAATTGTTACAGGTAGAGGAAAACAGATTGAAACTTCTTTGCATATCCAGAAGTGTGTTTGCATTAGAAGCAGAAATATTGGCAAACAGCACATTGTGGAAAATGAGGTTTTAGTTTAGTTTCATTACAGACATCAGTGAATGAAGGCCATTTTAAAAGATGTCTCCCCTGCCCCTTTCAGGCCCTTTATCTTCCGGTTTGCTTTCTTCTTCCTGCTCCAAAGCTTCTGATGTTTTTTAGCAGGTGCTCATGTGTTTAACTGCTTAGGAGGGCCTAAGCATTGATAATCTGATTTTCATTTAACTCCGCCCCTTCTTTTCAGGTACATGAGTCCTAAGCCTTCTTGGGGTCTCACTTTTTTCATAACATGACCCATGACATCTCCTGCGATGTTATGAACAGCCTTATGCACCCCCTTAATGTGGGGTTTAATAAACTTAAAACCTCTCCTCAAGAGGGGGACTGCCTTTCAGAACAGCCCACGAAAAATGCCACCCAGCCCTGCCCCATACATGTTTAGTGTCATGATATCCGGGGAGGCTGCGACCTGCTTGTGCATTATACTAAGCCCTATGAACATAGACATCTCCATAGTCTTTTAACACAACCCTTTAAACGTTCTTCTTTTCTTGCGCACAACCTTTTCTGGGATGAATATGCAACATCACAACAACTTTCCCAAAGTGAATGGCATATCTTGGTTCTGATCCGTCTTTATTTCAATGTTGATCATGTTGATGTGGTTCTTACTTATCAATACATAATGTGGCTTGTCGCAGGTAATTGTAACACATTCGTAGGTTTCTCCCTTGATGGGGATACAGCATAACAGAGGCACAGAGTGGTCTCCCACAATTTTTGTGTTCTATGATATCCGTATAGCCATACAAAGAGCTGAAACCTCCAGTAAGGACTGTAGTATGAGGTATTTTTCTGACGGGTTCATCCAGAGGGACCCCCAAAATGCGGGCTAACTCAGCACCAGCTGAAAAGAAGTAACTTGCAGGGCCTGTGAATCTAACTTTTCCCATGGTTGGGTCATACGTCAGCCACACTTGTTGCAGAACTATAGCTTGTTTTATAGTATCATTCATGTTGTTCAGAAGATCAGGAATGCCCATGGGTAACTGAAAGGCCCATTTTGGGGGGCCTTTATCCTCAGAAATGGAAAACGGGGCATTTTTAAGGATTGTGTACCAGCTCCAAGGATACTGTATCTTAGTTAGGGCAGCTTCCCAAACCCTGTTCAAATCTAAGGGATGGGGTAGCATCGTTGTAAAGCATTTGTATTTTGAGGAAAGACAGGCGATGCTGGGGAGTGTGATCTAAAAACCATGATCACCCATTTTGCTTCTCTGTCCTATACGGCCACAGAAACTTCACAGGCAGCCACCCAGCTGTTGAACTTGCTAGGCCAACCCAACCCAACCATTTCACTAAGTGAAGTTTTCTTGTGTCCAAAATCTTTTCAATTCTGTACAATCTGTCTTCCCAGTCATCCTCTGTAGTTCTTCAGGATAGAAAGTCCTGCCTATGGCCTCCCCATCATAATCCATTAACTGGTATACAGGCCTCTCTGCGCCTTTGATAACCCAATCCACTATAAATATTTCAGTGGTGAAATTCTGTTCATATCCTTTATCAAATGCCCCCTTCATTTTAGAAACCCTCACACAGTCTCCTTTTCTGAGTTCTGGAACCTCTCTGTTTCAGCAAAGGCCCCATAGACCCTTTTCCAGATGGTCAGAGCATTGTGATGATTAACATCTACAGGTCTACATTTAATAGATCTATGAATGCCATAGTTATAACTTTTAAGGAACTGTGGTAATACATCCACATACCTGTATGTATAATTAGCCATGAAATACTTCCACATTTTTGTTTTTAATGTCTGTTAAACCTCTCCACCACCCCCGCTTTCACCTCATTATTGGTGACAAAATGTTGTATTTCGCATTTCTTGGATAAACTGCTTACAGGTCTGTTTAGAAATTCACCGCCACAATCCATCTGTATTTTGTCAGATTTTCTTCCGTCTTGTTCAAAAATAGAATCAAAAGCTTTGGCCACTTCTTTACCTGTTTTGCCTTTGAGAACTTTTGCCCAGCTGTGCTTAGAAAGGATGTCAATGCATACCAGGATGTAGCCCTTGTTGTACCAAGCAAATTGTTGCATATTGACCAAATCTGCCCACCGTTGAGCATCTACTTTGGAAACAATGGTCTTATTTCTTTTTAAATTAACTCTAGCCGGTCTATGCAGTGTAT